GCCCGGAGCAAAATGGAACTCGGTCGTAGTTTAGTTTGCAAATGGGGAGGAGACTCGTAGACCAGCTCCACCTTGTGAAGGTAGGTGGGATGAATCGCATGTGTTCTTGACCAAGGAAGTGTCGGGGTGATTCCGTGGGAACCTTGCGGTGTGTCCTTTCGGTAAGTTTGAAAATCGACGGCTTCGAGTGGTTGCGATTTGGTTTCAAGCATTCTTGCACGGTTTCTGCTTGCTGTTCGATTTGGCACTTTCGCCACCGTTTTTGGTCCACATGAGCACCTAGGCCAAAAGCGGGGAACAAAAAGAAGAAAACAGCGCAAGGGCCGAACCCCGAGAACGCCCGTACCTAGAGACTCAACAACCTGTAAATTCCTCAATCTGAAAACCTCGAGTTTTTGGAGAAAAGCATCGTGTTGGGTATGACGTTTTTAGAGGTTTTTGGGGTCTCCTGGTACCTGAACAGCAGATGGTTGCAAAATAGGCCAGACCCTAAGCGTCCCTCATGCTTTCCCCTCTCCCCCTTGTCGGAAGCGTCCCTCATGCGATCGGCGATCGGCGATCGCCAGGCGGCGACTGGGCTGAGCATCACTTCATGCTGATCACCGTCACGTGTGGTCCACACGCAGGGCCTGGGCCACAATGCGGCAACAGAGAAATCCCTTTGGCCTGGGATCTTGGCAGATGACGAGCTGGGGGGTCACTCATGGTCCTGAGACACTTGGGGCATCTTGAGATGATCCCTTACTTGGCGGATCCTTATGTCTCCTAGAAATAGGGGGGAGGGCTCGTGTGATGTTTTGGTTGGCCTTGCTTCAGTCCCTCGATGCAAAGACACACTGCAGCAGTCAAAGCGCTGTGGCCAGATAGGATCCGGCCTGCCGCAGGAACAGTATGGTCAAAGACACATTCCCCGGAGTCGCTCTGGATGTAAGTGGGAATTTCACATCTAGTTTTCGAGCGGAGAGGGCCCAGGCAATGCAGACATTGTTTTGTATTGTTCGGGGGGGGGATTGAGGGCAGTGACCTTTATCATCTTCTAAAATGCCTCGACATGTTGAAGGGTATCCAGGAATATGTGTGTGGCTCAAAATTAAGCAGGAGGGGCAAACCGCAGGTTTTGGTCCATGTTTCCGCTTACCAGGGCTTGCGCCATTTTGGGATACCGGTTTTTTGAGCCACAGCCATGTGTCCGTTTTTGAGACGTTTTGTGCCTAAAGGAAAGCTGTGGAAAGCCGCTGGATCGGCTTCCACGGCAATTTTTGGGACCAACGGCCGACTTTCGCTGAGGCTGCGGGGTCTGGGCACTGGGTCCAACCGCCAGCGCCGCAAGCGCTGTGCTACCCTGGCGCTGGCCGGAAGTTGATTGGGCTGGGTTTGGGGACCCTGGGGGTTCAAGTTGGAGGCGTTTTGTTTTTTTAGGCTTTGGGGTTGGGGGGGAGGGAGGGGGGGGGGGATTTTTTGAAGTTGCGATTTTCGCGGTTGGCTTAAAAGGGAAGCCTGAAGTTCAAAGGAAGACCGTCGTTGTTATTCTTGAGGCCTCGCCCCTTGTTTGTGCAATAAATTCAAGAGCGTTAGTTGGCCATTGGCCGCAGTTAATTTTATTCATGCCGGGACGGCCTCAACCTGAAGCCATACTCTTGTAGAGGTGCACTTGTCCAGTGGGTTTTCTTCCAGATGCCTTTCTCAAGAACTCAAGGCTCCTTGGTTCGGACGTCCGGGCTCGAAAAGCTCAGGATCTTTCTTTCCGTTGACATGCCTTGTCAAAACCCAGTTTTTCAAACACCCCAAATCGTTCTGAGTTCCGTGCCCCTTTTCCAAGGCTCCGAAAAAAATGTTGGGTTTGTTCGGTGCGTGGGCTTCCATCCAACAATCAAGGTAATTGCAAGGACAAACTGTGGTGTGGTTGTTTTGCCGTGTTGAACATGGCAAAAGCAAGCACCGTATAACTGAGCCATGGTAAGGGGCATAAGCATGCCCACCCCCATATGGAATTGGGCGAGCGGGTCACCCTATAATTGTCCTCATTTGTGTCCTTTGTTCTTGAGGACTCCAAAAGCGGAGTTGGCGGAATTTACCTGGAGGGAAGCCCAAGGGATATGCCCAGTTTGCCCAAGTTTTTGGTTGGCGTCGCTTCAAGGCATTTAGATCTAGGGGTACCTTCCCCATTCTTTCCAAGCATCCTTCTTTCTACAAAACCCCTCGTTTCCCAGGGAGCCCTCCAAGGAAACACAATGGGAGCTTCTCAACATGGTGGACCCCAGTTTGGTATCAGAAAGGGAAGCCAGCCAACAGACACCCTGGCCATTTTCGGAACTGGAACACGGCCATGAAAATTTCAATAGGGAATTCCTTAAAAGCGGTGGACATCAATCCCCATGTCCACCAAAACATCCCACCACTCAAAAAATCGCTCTACCACCCGCCCCCCACCCTTCCCCCGCTGCCAAGTTCGGGGATTTCCTTTCAAAGCTGTGGATTCGGTGCACCACGGTTTGCCTTTTCCATTGCTCTGTTGATAAATAAGCCGCCGCCCTAGTGTCATGTAAAGACCCTTTTCATTTCAGTGGAAATACAGGGTTGTCGTTGGGAAACATTTTACATTCTTGTTTTTTGTGGTTTAGTGGGAAATCCCCGCTTACCTGCTAAAATTTAATTGTTTACTCCCCTTCCAATTAACGTCGACTAAGACGCAAACCCCTGTTCCTTCCTGCGCCTCGCGTGCGCGCCAGGCCGCCACCGCCGCCGCCGCCTTCTCGGAGGAGGCCGCCGCCGACGCCGACCTCGAGGCGAGATCCGAAGCTTTCGCGCGGAAGCCGGACATCGTCGACGAATCGATGGGCGCGCTGAAGGCGACTTTTTTTTAAATATATATATATATAAGAGCAGCTTGGAGTTTGTGTTTCTCTTTTTAAACCTACCCCAGGAGCCCAAGACGCTAGCGCGAAGCGCTTTGAGCGCGCCTGGGGCGATGGGAAAGGCCTTATATGAGGTCCAAGGGGCTAGGGCGATAATTCTTTTGAGAACCCGAGCGCGCCTTGGAGCCGAGTCCTGAGTTTACTCCGAGTCCGGGATACCCCCTCTGTGGGTTTTGTCTGGTTTTGAGATGCTTGAAAGCCTCCTGGCTTTGTCTCAAAGAAGGGGACCCTTGTTGGGTGTTGAAAAGCCGAAGATGGCCCAGTTTTTGCTTGAATGAATCGGTGAGTCGGGCCTTCTGGATCCAGATCGCGAAGCAGGTTCACGCAAATTGTGGCACCCCCGCCCCCCGGAATGGCGGGCACTTAGGGTTCAGGGATGTTCTTGGTATTTGTGTTACTGTATTTGCCCTTGTTGGTTTTAAAGGGAATCTATTACTACTGGATTTGTTTTTTTCCAGGGGGCTTAAGCAAATGGAGAAAGCTGTGGTATGGTAGCCACATTCTCGCATGTCGCATCTCTGCGCACGAAGTTGGCGGTTCACATTTTGGAAATACAGGCCGCGGCTTTCCAGGGAAATGAGTTCTTTGCAGGGGAATTTTCGCCAAGGAGCTTAAAAAATCCGGCCTCGGATACTGTTAAGGGGAAAACAAAAGGACACCAACCACCAAGAGGGGACCTTACTATTGAGAAACACGCTTAATGTGTTACATAGTTTGTTTGTACATATTATTCTTTCCTATCAGGCCAGCCGCAGCCCTAATCCAGTTGTTTTCGACAGGCAAACCCCTACACAACCCCTCATATGATTCGCAGGCTCGCTTTGTTGAATCACCTGAACAAGGCCCAAAGCAGGTGGTTTCTCTTTTGGCGTCCCTTTGTAGCTGGTCAGAACAGGTTACAAACTCCCAAAAACAGACACACCCTTGACACATCGTGCTAGTCAAACGCAGACTCACCCATATGTGCCATGACCAAAGTACAATTGTTCACTTTTGGTAGGGCACAATATCCTAGACACCAGTGGTGCCCGTTTCTTTTTTTGGGAGGGGGTTTATGTTCAGAACAGCTGACAAAACAATGCATTTTGTTCTATGGCCACTGGGGTCTGGGTCTTGCCCAAATTGTTTTGTTTGAGGGTACCTGGAAAAAAAGGGAAGCCAACAGGCACAGTTTGACATGTATCCACAGTTGCCACTGCAAATCGACCATTTGCAACCTTTGTGTTTCCCATCTGCAAATTGTGATCTCCTTTGCTTGGCTCCCAGCCATCCGCGTTCTTGGCTTCTTTGCGCTTTCTTTTTTTAATATTCGTGTTGCTTTAGTCAGAAACCTCCGTTTTGACACCACTGAAAGCTAAAGAAAAGGAGCTGAGGGGATCCTTCAATCGGAGAGTTGCCATCCCGAGGCTTTGATCTCCGCGGTTCGCGCCGTGGCGCGCGAGGAACAAGAAGCCTCCGCGGACGGGGGAGGGCTCCGATCACTTGGAATCCGATCCGGGCGAAGGCGTTTTTTCCTTGATTTTCGCGGGCTTTTCTTACCAAGATCCCCATTTGCCCTTGTTTTCCAGCTACTTTTGCCACATTGTGGGCTACTAGTGGGCAAAGTGGCTGGAAAAACGTAGCTACGTGGGGTTCCAGGTATGTTGAAATCATGGCTCCGCCAAGCGAACGATGTGTTTTTGTTCCTTGGTCCAGTTCCTTGTTCGTGTTTGTGCAGCTGGGTGGCTTCCGGTCCTTTTTATATTTCATGCAAACAACACAATATGGGGTATGGAAGCCGCTTGAACGGACAGTTTCCTTCTGTTGTCGTTTCCGGTTGAAACAACCTCAAGCTGAGTGCCCTTGAAACAACACTGAGGAAGATCGACACCAGGATGAGGGTATTTGGACGTAGACTTGGTAGCCGGAAGGAGTTTTGCTCCAGTCTCCCGACCAGTTGGGGAGTTAGGGTAAGATGGATGCGAGTGGTGTCATGAGTTTTGCCTACCCCAAAATGGGTTGCGCTGGTAAGTGGAAGCATTGTCCAAAACCTGCGGTTTGCCCCTCCTGTTTAATTTTGAGCCTGCTCACCCAGAGGGTTCCGAGGCGCAGAACTCTTCCTGGGTACTCCTGTGCCGGGCAGCTGAGAGTCAGCGAGAGCTGTGCTTGGTAAGGGACCCCCATGTTTGGATTTCAAGGGAAACCACGAGGCCGACTTTTTGGGACAAACCCAAAGAATCTGAATGGAAGATGCCTGGGCACCCAAATGCCAACGTGCCGTGCACCAATTTTCATGTGCGCATTTTCGACCTGGAAATGTGTCCCCTTGGCACCCTAAGTCACCCCTTGGTCCGACTAATGCTGAACTTGCAACCAAGATCTCCACGTGCCTCACCAAACAGCAGAGGGATCCGGCTTGGCATCCTTTCGACTGAGGCCAGTGTCGGACCTCTTTCAGAGAGCTGAGGCATTCGGTTCCAGGGGCTCAGCGACCTGCATAGGGGATGGGGCTTGATCAATATTCCATTTGAGGCCCCCAGCTTCTACCGTGGGTCACTTGTCCCATGGTAAATATCCTCTTGGTGGTTTTTAAGGCCCCCAGCTTTTACCATGGGTCACTTGTCCCATGGCAAAGATAATCATCTTAGTTGTTTTCCAACCAAGGGTCATCCCGGACCTTTTGATCAACCCCCGTGTCTTTGGATGTGATGGATGACTTTCCGATCAGCCTCTGCCCCTATGAGCTGCCACAGAGTAGATGTACCAGGATTGCAAGACATCTGTCGTGAAAAGGGCTGAGTGATGAATCGCTGAATCAAGCTTGTGTTTACGAGCAGATGCAACTAGGGCAGTATAGTGCAGTATCAAATTGACAGATTCATGGACATTTGAGATTGGAACAAATCCCGACTTGGCTCACGCTATCGGCTCACGCTATCGACTCTCGCTAGCGCAAAGAACCTTGTTCCATGGGAGTAAAAGCTTCGACTACCTAACCGGGATCCCAGTGATGGGCATTCGAGTCTTTCTTGGACCGGTAGAACGTCGTACGGGCTTTATGACCTTTTCCTTTTCTGGGGCCCAACCCAAATCTTGGACTGCCCAGTGATCCCATTTCCCTGGAACCATCCAGGAACATGGCTGGTTCTAATGGAGGTTACTCGGATCCACGAGGTAGTTTTTCACGCAAAAACGCATCCTATTTGTAGACTCATTTGCCAAAGCAAATCGACATTTTCACTTTGTGGTTTCTTGTTTTGGGTCCATTTTTAGTCTTGGCCCCAACAAGTTAACCTTTGATTTCCAGGTCCTTTGGGCAAGTGAGTAGGGGAAATGCCTTCTGGAGGAAGCTCCCTCAAATTTAGGTATCTTCGGCCCCCTTTGTCACAAAAGGGCAGAACTCAGTTCTTATTTTGTGGAAGCTCGTGTTGGGACGTCTTGGGTTCCATGTGGGTTCATCCTTCATCCCGAATCCTGAAAATGTGATTCGAACCCCGAATCCCGAATCCCGAATCCTATACTTCCCTAGGAGTCCAAGACCCTAAATGTGAGACCCTAAATGCCCAAAGGCCTCCTATAATGAGGTCCAAGGGGCTCCTAGGGCTTGGAAAATGCGATTCGGATCCCGGAATCCCGGATCCCGGTTGGTTTCGTTTCCAGGCGATGGTTGAGAAGCATGGAACTGGAATTACACCCTAGACTCTTATTTGTGGAAGCTCGTGTTGGGACATGGAGGTCTTGGGGGTTCCATGTGGCTCCAACTTCGGTCGATTTCGTTTCATCTCGGGCAGGCGGAGAACCGCGTGGTGAACTCCGCCCTGTCCTCCTGGGTGGTGAGCGTGGCCTGCGCCGCAGCCTCGGGGGAGCAATCCAGCGACCCGAAGCCGCGGTGTCGGCGGTTTCTCCTCGTGCGCGTGGATTCTGGGTGAAGGCCCCTCATTTTTTTGTTTGCGTTCGAAAAGAGAAGGTCGCAGCAAGCTACAGATTCCGGAAGCTCGTTCCAAGGCCTGAAATAAGAATGGTGTGCCCTCAAAAGCCGTGGCAGGCTAATCGGTGGAATTTGGCAATCCAGAAAAGTTCCCCAAAAGCCCAGGAGGAAACTGGGACATTAACACCCGCGGGTTCCGTTTGACTTCGTGGGGCACCCTCAAAAGGGTGTTTTCTCAAAATACGGGACCCCAAAATGGCGGTGCCTTCCCCTATTTTGAGAAGCCCCCAAGAAAAGGCCACGGCCAATTCAGATGTTAGAAGTCCCCTTCAACAGTTGATCAGTTTCTCTCTCTCTCTCTCTCTCTCTCTCTCTCTCTCTCTCTTGCGACTGACAGGGTGTTTGCTCACAGCTGTGGATGCCCCAGAAAAAAACAAAAAACGTCCACTTGCTTAAGAATATGTTTGTATTTCCCCCCTGTGGTTTTTGTTGGGGAATCTAGGACTACTGGAAATATTGTCTTGTTCTGAGGGTACTTTTTTTGGGGTGGGGGTGGGGATTAAAGAGAGACCAACAGGAAAGCCACAATTTAATTTGGGGGGTCCCCTAAAAAAGACACACCCAATGTTCACCCATGGTTTCAACTCCCATCAAAACAATGGCAAAGACCCACATTTGGATAATGACAATGTTTAGGTAAACAATGGTATACTTGTTTAGGTAAACACTGGTATACCTGTTCTCATGTTGTTCACTGAACTCGTAAACAATGGTGGCTGGCTATGAGCTCTTTTGTTCATTTTTGTCCACAGGGAGGCATGAGGCAAGAGCCATGCGCACCTAGGTCCCCCAGTAGTGCCCTTTTACCCTTTTTCTTTTTTGGGTTTTGGGTTCTCTTACGAAAATAGACTACAGAAAAAAGTTGGTACCCTATTCTAACCTCTCACATCTGGAGGACCTAGGTTTTTTTGCTTCAATGTTGGCATCTGAAGGTCAGGGGACGGATGTCTCGGGCGTGTGGCTAGGCATTGGTGGCCCTGGCGGCCTTCACCCGGAGCCTTTGGCTCTCCGTGCCAGCCTTAGCTGTCCAAAAAAAAGCCGGGCATGGGGAACACACCAAATCTTTCTCACTTTTACTTTTTTTTTGGGGGGGTATGTTTTATGAAAGTGCCCCCGTGTTTCCTGTGGTTGATGAACACACCGCATTCTGCACGGATGCAATCCCAAGGTGCGAAGTCAATGTCCACAGGGCAAAGTCGTTGAACATCTGACAGAATCCGACAGCCGGAGAATCGCCTTCTCACAGCAAAGGGTTGGCGACTTCACATCATGGTTGTTGTTGGGAAACATTTTACATTTTTGCTTATTGTTTTAGTGGGAAATCCCCACTTACTTAACTGCTAAATTTTAAATTGTTGCTCCCCTTCCAACGTCAACCAAGACATGTCGAAGGCCAAGATGTGCTTTTAGTCAACTCTGACTCTTGGAGAATCTGCTCAGCAATTGGCTCAGGCACAAAGCTTGAGTGCACGCGACCTGAATGTAGATGAATCCAGAAAGCCAACCACGTCGGTGTTCCTTTCAGCATTTACTTCATGAGTGCTTGAGACCCCTTTGAGCTTTGAGTTACGCCACATACCTTTGCCATATAGATGGATACTGAGGAGTTGTCGAAAGTAGGTCCTTTTGAAGGGCATCCCTTTAAGCAGCGGCAGGGCGGAAAAGGGGGCAATCAAACGTTGGCAAGAACTGGCGCGGGGGGAACACCTTGCAAGGGAAAAACAAAAAACAACAACCTCCTGCGGAGTGGTTTTGGGAAGCCAAACAGGACACCTTTCCACGTAAAGAGACCTGGCGCCGGCGCCCTTCTGGACAACACCAATGGGGGCATCGCGTGGCCCTTGGCCTTCGCGCGCGCGAAGGCCATCGCCTGCTTCGCGATGCTGTCCACGGCGGCCTGTAGCTTCCTGGCGAGACGTCCGCTGAAATTGGGCAAGATCGCTTTTTTTGTGGGGGGGGGGCATCTGGCCTGCAAGGCGCACATGTGTTTTTTGTTCTACCAGCTGTTGGGCGACCGGTCCCTGCGCATATGTTTGTTGTTGCTTTTTCTACCACCTGCGGCCGGGTGTCTTTTACCAGCTTTCGGGCTGGTTTTACCGGCCCTTCATTGAGGCTTGTACTTCATCACCAGCGTGTTCCAGTGGAGCTTCGGGCTGATGGAGGCGTCGATCTGGCCTCGGGGCTTGGGAGGTACTTGGATTTAAGAAGCCAACGGGTTTCCGGGAATCTGTTCTCTCCATGACCCCCCCAAAACTTGGCCGATGGCAACCGCTAAAGGTGGTCTGAGACCAACTTTTCTGCTGGTGTTTGGTGAAAGGAATCATGACCCTTGTTTCGGTGTTGGGGGGTGGACCTGGGTGGCAAACTTACCGAAGTTGCCCTCGCCAAGCTGTCAAGCACGATTCAGCCAGGTTTTGAGCCGCTGAACAACCGGGTTGGTCTCTAAAAGTCCCTTTTCGGGGTTGGTGAGGACACCAGAAAACAAGCACTCCTCACCCCATTTTGCCGGTTGCCACGTTGCCATGTTCAATATCTACAACCTTTCACCCCCTGTACCCCAAATGTTGGCAAGTGTCTAGTTTGCATCGAGTCCCCCTGAACCTTGCCTTGTCTATCTCGTTCAGAGGGATGATTGGTGGGTATCATGTAGCGAGCTTTTTAACCCATTCCGCATAATACATTTGTACATCAGCATTGCAGACCCATCCAATTGTCACAAGACCTGGTCACATTGAATGAGCGCCCCTTATCTTGAGTTCTCCTGCGATCAGGACTGTGACAAACCAATCAATATAGTACAAGCACCCATCTACAGGCACCCGCAAAAGTCGTCCCGTTTGTTGCCACTGAGCAAGAGTCCGCGTAGCACCTGGAAGCTGACTTGCGCTCGCGTTGCAGAGGCGTAGGCTCGCGGAGGCTTCCGCGTCGGCATGCAAGTGTATAGGCCTCGAAGCACCAACACCACCACTGCTCAGCTGAGCTTGTTGGACACCGAATGCTTGTCTTCCATTTGCTTAAGAAAGCTTTCTTTTAATTTCCCCCAGTTGGCTTTAAAGGGAATCTATCACTACTGGAAATATTGTTTGTTTGTTTTTTTTCCAGGGGTCTTAACCAAATGGAAGTTGTGTCGGAAAGAATTGGAACAAGGCTTGAGTTTGACTCATGACTCGCTTGCCATATGCTGACCAGGCCGTTTCGCTGATCATCTTCTGTGGCTTCTCTGTGGATTACCCACTCCATGCACGGAACCCCAGATCGGATGCCAGGTGTTTGTTTCCAGTTTCCATGAACAATATCTTTGCCTGTCCATTGATAGTTGGTTCCACCTGATGCGCTAAGCTGAAAATATTCACCGGGGCAAATTGAGGCATCAGGTATAGCTTCTGCATCAATTTGATGAACGTTTACAATCACTTCATCCGCAGCTCTACCACGTGAGTTAGTCACTTCTACAGTATAGGTTGTGGTTTCTTTGGGAGTTGCTCTTGGGTGACTGATAAACAGGTTGTCAACGTCTGGTTTAGGAGTCCATCACAGAGTGGCTGTGTGCAGATGGAAGTCATTTTTTTGGGCTTTCATGTTTGTTTGCATGCTTATTTGCGTTGTTTTGTTTTTGTAGTTTTGTCTTGTTTGTGTTTTGTTGTGGGTTTTGCTTTGTGTTGTCTTGTCGTGTTCTGTCCTGTTTGGTCTGTCTGGTCTCTCTGGTCTGTGTGTGTGTGTGTTTGTGTTTCTGTGTTGCGAATGTTTCAGTTTGCTTGCCTGCTTGCGTGCTTGTTTGTGTGCGTGCTTGTCCTCCGGTTATTTTCAAGGTTTCTTGTTAGGCGTTGTTGACATGCGTGTCTTGACGTTACGTAGCGATGAGGCATGCGGCGCATGCCAGTTCAAGCGACCTGCTCGTTTGTGGTTGGTAGGGATTTTAGAGAGGCGTGAGGTTTTGGCATGGAACCATGACAATGGCACACATAAGACATGTTGACAATGGCACAGACGGCGTTTCTGAAACTCCATGACTGTATCACACATAAACAGCCGCGATGCTGGGGAGGTGTACGTCTTGCCAGATCTCGATTCACGTCCCAAACCCTTTGGCTGGAAACAGATGGGTGTGTATTTCTTGAGTTGGTTCTTTGGGTTTCCCTTGAAAACACAAAACAGGGGTAATTACCCTCCAAAACAATCACATACCCAGATTGAGGGAGTTTTGAGGTGGTCCAGGCGTATGTGCAGGAGCGCGACAAAGGCTGGGAGATTCAATTCACGTCGCGTCGCGTGTCGTGGTCCTCACTCCACCTGACAGGGTGTCGGTGGGAAACATTTTACTTCTTTGCTTGTTGTGGTTTAGTGGGAAATTCCCACTTAACTGCTACAGCTTAAGTTTGTGCTCCCCTTCCAACGTCAACGAAGAAGATAAACTTTATTCTCCAGGTACCCTCCCACGGGTGCGATACGTTAGTGGGAGGAAGTTCGAAACCGCAAACCAAGGGCTTCGCCGTGCTTCAAGAAGCACGGGCCACGATTTTTTTTGTACGGCGTCATGGGCTAAGCTCCCAACTCTATGGGTGTATCTACAAAGGGCTCCTTAAAAGATCTCCATGTTGCCCATTTGAAACATGGCTTTTTCCACCAAAATAAAGGGAAACCACCATTTACAAGTTGCAATGTTCAGGTGTATAATGTAAGAATCCCTGCAAAACCAGGAGCCTCAGAACGGTATTTGTCCCATTTACCAGGGGACCCCATCTATGTTTTCCAAGGGGTCATGTACGGGTATGGGTCCAAATCAAACCACCAGGAGACCACAAGTTTTAGTCTTTTCTACTTACCAAGGTTCCATTTCGGGCCCCTATTTTTGAGCCACGGCAAGTTGCCCAAATGTGACAGAAGTGTGTATGAGCATGGACAAGACACCCAGTCGCGAACTATTCATGGACACGCGCATCGCATTTGATAGCTTTTGTGTGTGTGTTCCCCCCAAACAGACCTCACAACCTTACTGCAGACTATGAAGGACGCCTCGCAGGCTGGTTTCCCCTTTACCCTCTGCAAGAAGGGGATCAGTCCCGGAAGCCACCAATCCAAACCACTTGCAACTTGAAGGAAGAACTTGTTTTTTTTGGGGGTAGCCATACTTTAAAAGACACTCATATGGGAGGCCCTCCAGAACGGTGGTTTTGCTTTTGGTGTTCTTTTTACCCCCACCCCCCCTCAAAAACAAAAAAGGGCACCCTCAAAACAGGACAGAATGAATGCTAAAATGGTGGTGCTCAGTTTTGGTTTCTCTTCAAGACTAACCAAAAAAGGGGGTACAGGGTACCTTCCAAAAACGACCCACGTGGTTGTGGCTCAGAAAAATGTGCCAAAATGATTCCTTGGTACATAGAACCAAAAACTAGCAATGTTGAGCCACACCCTTTCTAAGACCAAACACAAAAAAGGTAGCCTCCAAAAAAGACCCACATGGCAGTATGTCGTTGGACCCTTCCCACCCAAAAAATATACGCCGCCGCCGCCCGCAAATTTTTATTTGGAGGCGCCGGCGTGGGCAGGGCGCTGCGGGAGGTGGGCGGCGCCGTGGCGTCAGGCGACTTTTTTTTCTTTTGACGTTTTTTCTTTTTTTTTTCTCGGAGGACTTTGGGTAACACTTTTGGATGACTTTGGGGGACTTTTTGTTTGGGGGGGATCAAAGAAGTGTGGCTTATGGAAATAGACGGGCTTTAGATATTCAGAAGCAGAACATCATAAGCAGTAGTTTACCATGATGTGGCAGTGGGTAAAAACCAATAGGTGAATTCACCACCCATTTTAGAACCTATTTTAGTGGGGATTGGGATGTTCACTTTGACTCATGGCCGGTTGGTCCAAAATGGGACAATTAAACCCAAAGGGTCCAAATTGGTTGTTGTCCCAGGTTTGAGCATATTTTTCCCATTTGCCTGTGGGTCCAAAATAGGGTAGCCCCAAAATGGATCCCTGGTAAATGGAACCAAGGACCAAAACCAGCGGTCCGATTCCTGGATACACGCACCTAAAAATGTCTCAGCGTTTCAATTAAAACCTAAGCCCCAGCTGTTTTGGCCGGAATGAGTCCAAGGTCCCAGAGAGGTGGTGAAGAGAAAAACGAGGCGTGTGCTTTTCTCCCGAGACTTCCCTTTCAGCAGTGCGACTGCTTGGTGCTATGCACCAACAAAGGCCAGAGACTCTTGGACACAAGAGTGATTTCGACGACTCTGCGTCCGTTATCTTATGACCATGTTTTATGTCCCCCTGTTGGTTTTTAAGGGAATCTATCACTGTTGGGCATACTTTCTTATTTTTAGTTTTTTCCAGGGAACTTACGCAACTGCGCAGGTGTGGGTTAGCTCCCTTAGAGTTTGGGTTCTGCGACGTGTCCGGTTTCTCTCCACGCTTTCCGGCATCGATTTGCGAAAGGATGTGCCACCACCTGCGGTGCCGCCCTGCCGGATGCCCCGGATGCCCGAGCGAGCCACGGGAGTCTCGGCCTGGCAGGTCAGTTTGGATGGAACATTCTAGGGGCAACTTCCCCATTCCTTCCAGGGATCCGGATCTTTCTAGAAAACCACGAAAACCCTGGGGAAATGGCCGGTTTTTGAAAAGAACGATGGCTGAAAGGAATGGGGGAATCAAACCCTCATTTAGGGCCCTCAAACAGCCAGGTGTTGAGACCCCCAAACAAATTCGGGGTGTCCAATGGAGGGGTCGGGTCTTCCATTAAAAGCCCCAAGAGCCTCTGGGTAGCCCAAAGCCAATCGACTTTTTGACCTTGTAGTTTCGCAATTTCGGTCCATGTTTTTTGTCATGGTCCCAAAAGGTTAGCCCTTTGTTTCCAGGTCCTTTGGGTAACTGAGCTTGATTCCCCACCAGAGTTTCTCGAGCAAGCCGGCACAAGCAACGGCTGGAATACAACATCATGACAAGTCAGAGGCAACGGAAATGCATTTCGTTGAGGTCGGTCAACCAGCACATTCACCCAGACAGTTTTTCTTGAATAGACCAACATAGAGTCTGGGCTTGCAATATCCAAGAGTGATGAAGAGCAGTGATTGCAGCTCAAATGAACAGCGCCCGACACTCCTGTTGGCCATTGGAGTAGATGGTTCTACTACCTGGTCGGAACTGCCAATGTTCCAGTCTGTCTTTTTTCAGGGCTGCCCTTGTTTGGCCTGTTGTAAAGGGAAACATTAGGATTGTTTTTTTGTTTGGGGGGGTCCCTTAAATAATAACGCCCACGTCCTTTTTTGACCGTTCGGGTTGTGCATATGATGGCTTCCAGGGGAGCAGGAAGCAACCGAGATCAGGTTCCTGCTGTGCTGCCAGATCACCATCTTCACTCGCTTCGGGCAGGCCCTTGGCGACGTTTTGCGTGCTCGTTGTCGTCAGTTTGTGTTTGGTTTTTGCCTGGCCTCCCTCTGGTTCCTTGGGCGTTTAGCTCTTTTTGTGGTTGGTTTGGCCGGGTTTCCATTTTAACCCACAGGTTGGACACTTTTCGCGGATCAGTCTGAGCAGCCCAGCTCCGACTCCGGGATGTTTGGAAAGGGAAGACACATGGGCACGACATCTTGGCAAAAGGTCCCGATTTGAGCAGAGCCCAACCCCCTGATTGACGAATCTTAGCAGGTGGTTCTAGTTCCTTTCTTCTCGGGGCTTATAGGAAGGCCTACACAAATGTTTATAGCCATGTTCATGGAACCAAAGTCAACGGGTTTGGTCGCTGATTTGGAGACGCATGAAGGCATGTACAATTAGGGCCCCCTGCCAGTTGTTTCGATTGCTTGTTTCGATTGCCAGTGTCAGGGTCCATTGTTGGGCCTGTATTAGACACAACGCGCGTAATTGTTGCAACTGGCAAAGGAGGCCTTACGTGACACTGGCCGACATCCCGGTTGTTCACCCATGTTTTCTGTTTGTTGAGTGGATTCCTGATACGGATATACCTATATGGCAGTGTTTTTTTTGAGGGGTCTGTAACAGAGCCGCGGCGGACTTTCGTTACAGACCTCGTTACAGACCTCTACAACAAGACCCGCTGGCTCGTTACACACCTCTCGTTACACAGCTTCGTTACACACCTCACATGAACAAGCCGCCTGGCTTTTGGCTTGCATTGAATAGCTGCAACTTTCAAGCTGGAGCTGCGGAGGCGCGCTTTGCGTACTGCACTTTGCTTTGCCTCGTTGCAGACCTCGTTACATTGCCTTTACATACCTCGTTGCAGACCCAACCCCAGCCCGGGCGAGCGACCCCCGTTTTTGCCGCCGCTTGGCTTGCGTAACTGAATAGTTGCAGCTTTCAAGCTGGAGCTGAGGAGGCGCGCTTCGCGTACTGCGCCGCGCTATGCCGCGATTCTTTGAGCACACGTGGTTTTTCCGATGGATGTCCGCATCTACGTGGTTGTTCAGGTTTTACTTGGATAGCCCCAACCCTAGCCGGGCCATCGTGTTTTTGCGGCATCCGGGCTCCAAAACGATTGAAGAGGATCAGGGTCGAATAAATATGAAACAGAATCTGAACATATTAGTTTCAGTTAAAAATTACCGGCCACGTTCCACGTAAGGGGCTCGGCCAGAACAGATCGCAGGTGTTGGTGGTGAATATGCTGTGCTGAGCTCAGGCCGCACGCCCTTGAGACCTGGAGGTTCAAGAAGTTATCCACAAATTCTAGCATAAAATGGTCACATTTTTCTTGGTTGTCACAGGGGGATCAAACATGGCCATAGCGTCCGTCATGCATCTTCGAACGGTTTCGGAACCCGCAGTGAAGTGCCTCTTACCCATTGCGTCCGCCCGGCCGAGGTTTGCCTTGGTCTTCGCCCTCGTTTGGATTCCAGCAGTGCTGGAGCTGTTCAGGCTGCCAGTTTCGGAAGTTCAGCCGTCGGAATCTAGCAGGGTATTGACACGCGGAGGTCATCCAGATGGGTGCCACAAGGGTTCCCTGCAGCTGATTGGTCTGGATGCACCCACGCGAATTTGAAAGCGACAAACTTCATCTGTGGAATCTCCACAAGGGAGTCGAGCTGTGGGCAGCATAGCAGGCACACATCCAGCTGACCGGCTCGGGCAACTCTAGCGAGTGTTTCCGACATGCTAAAAAATATCAATCCAGCAGCCAGTGTTCATCATGAGTTGCTCTCAATGTGCCACTGCCATGAACATGTGGGCGGTCAAAACTATGGGCACGTTTTTTGGGACGGTGCTGCCTAGGAACCCCCCCCCCAAAAAAAAAAGCCGCCCAAAAACAGCTCCTGAATTTTGACCAGTGTGAGCGACTTCGAAGGATAAGAAAAGTTCGGATAAGCAGGTTCGGCTAGGCGGCCGTACTGGAAGCATGTTGTGCCGCGGTTCGGAACCTACCCTTGACCTAGGGTTGCTTTGGCAAATGGGAGAGCAAGTACGGTCTAGAAGTCGTTTCGCGGCGGCCAGCAATGTTTCATAGAAACCAGCAACAAGAATTGTTCCATAGAGGCAGTTGGCCGAAGACCCGGCCAAAACAAGGGGAGTTTCATGCTGGAATCTTGGAATGTTACATAATTATGTGTTTTTCTTTCAAGTGACTATTTGGTACGTGATGCAGTTGCAGGCGGCAGTGCTGAACAAGCGCATGGGTTCTTTCGCAGAAGGTTTCGGAAAGAATGGCCTGCCTATTTCCAACCGTGAGCTCTCAGGGAGGATGACAGGGGGAATTACCATAGCACTGATCTATTGGACGACTTCTTTAGCCTGGAGATCTCTAACTAGTACGATGATCGCTTTTGTTGCGGTGCAGTCCGAATATGTGCGAGCTGCATGCTCCTGCTCCTTGGAAAGGCCCCTGATGCTTTGCCAACGAATCTCTTTTGGTCTGCTTTCAAGGCATGGCAACAAGGCAAACATTTTGGGGAGACCACTTTGTGGGGAGCTCGCTGGTTCCACGTATGGGTATGGGTTAAAAATTAAATCACCAAGATGTGGAACACAGTTGTTGTCCTTGTTTCCATTTACTCAGAAGTCTCACGTTGGGGATATACCGACTATTTTTGACCACCGCACAACAAACACGTGTGGGTGGGGGTCCCCTAGACTGCTAGAGGAGGTTCCTGGAATGAAGCCGGCAGATGGGTGCTTTCCAGTCGCATATCGTCTGGATCCGCCTCGAAGGTGCAGTCCGGCGCCGGTCATGGACGAAGGCGGAAACGAAGACGTTGGCTCAGAAATTTGGGCAGTTTTCCTTTTCAGGACCCCCAAAAAAACGTGCACACCAAACACACCAAACCAAAATGGTCTATTTCAGTATTTTTCGGGGGGTTGGGGGCAGGGGGTGGTTGGGTGGCCCTCTTCAAGGCAGGGTGATTTTGTGGAGCTGGGCTCCAATTTCGACAGGGGGCATCTGAAAGGAAGCCATTTCGTGGAGAGCCCACTCGGGCCACGCCAAGAATACACCCGAGTCACACCTGGCTTCTGGTTCTGAAGAGACGCAAGCTTTGGATGGAGGAGTCCCTGCACTCGCTGCCATTCTCTGTGAGAGTGAACATTTCGAGGTTCTCAAATGACTCTTGGGACCTGGTTTCCGAACTTCAACCCACCCAAACAGAAAAATCAAGAGAAGAGGTATTCGTTCGAGGAATCGGCGAAATCGCACACCGCGAGGCTACGGGATGGGTCTCCTGCGGCAGGGCAGCCCCAGACGAGGTGAGGTGCTTGCCGGGTTTAAGGGACGAGCAACGAGCAGAGGTTACAGTAGGGGAGAAGGTAGATGACACAATCCCCCCCCCCGATGTGGGTTTAGCCATCCCCCTTACAGTCATGGACAGACGTTGGATTACAGCTTACAGTGGAATTGTGCCATGAACTTTCACCTTTCTCGATTTTACCACAAAAGCCAAGGGCTCAATCGCAGCCTTTGCCATCGGAACCAATCCACCGACCAGTTGGATCGCTTCTTTGCGACAGCTTGGAGGTTTTGCACCAAAGGATCTCTACCAAAAGGCGTGGCAGCGAGGCTATCTGGGATTGTCTCAAAGAAAATTCCCCTCAAAACGGGGGGGGGGGTCCTTTTCCTTCCGTTTTCCCGTTAAGCCAAGCAGAAAGGGCACCAGCCAACAAACATGTGTTTGGATTCCCAGAGTTTGTTCTGGAATTTGGTATTAACAACAAGAAGTCATGACAAAACGAGAACATACATATATATATATATAAATTAATATAGATGCTACTATCATAATACAAGACGCGATGCTACTAAATAAAGAAACATATCAAATAACGTTACAATGGTCAATGCCATCCGGCTGTTGATGTTCGTCCCTTGTCTTTTATCATTTGAATTGCTCCTGTAAGCAAGAAGATACATAACAGGAACATGCGATGATAATATGAGATGACATCACATTCATAGCGACTGTCCGAGTGAAAAGAAAATCGACCAAGTGGGCGACATTATGGTGGAGCTCGATGATCATATTACGAAAGCATCTTCATTGTTTCCTTGCCGAACGGGTAGGGTCAGGCTTGAGAATATCATGATGTGAGAGAGCTAAGATTGCAAGACACGCAAATCATATAATGCATTATAGTAGTGATATAGATTCCATTCCTTGAATGGGCAGTGATGACTCCTTTCGAACATGTGGATTCATGGTTTATAGTCATATGATTCTCCTTGGTGAGACTCATGTACAAATAAGACTTACCAAACCAAGGCAATTTGACAAGCTTATGAGGTAATCTATGATGAAGTGAATATATATATATACATATATATATATATATGTATACAGATAAGGTGTCCTATACGTATTCGTTTGTGCTTGTTCATATGTCATTACAATTCCAAAAACATACTTAACAGAAGACCAGTAGATAGATGAAACAACGATAAACACAAAGAAACAAACAAACATACATGGCAAGACGTAGATGGTCAAGGGTGACAGTGCTTGAACGCGGTGGAGTGCCCAGGCAGCCATTTGGGATGGTTGCACCGCTGAGTTGCACTCCAACTTGCAATTTGAGAGTTGCAATGCTTCCAGCGTTTGCACATTCCTTCATGTTGACATAGTGCATAGACAAACAGCGTGTTTGTCTCTTTTGTAGGGATGTTAGTATGGTATGCGGAAGTTTTCAGCGGTTCTGTGATCCAGGTAAGGACTCCTAGTTTGTAGCAGGCAGGCATTGCATTGTTTGCGCCCGGTGTGTGTGCGCATTTGTGTGGGCGGCTTAATGTCCATCCGGGCATTGTGCTTGCCCGCCCACCTGCGCGATGTTTGTGGGAATCTTGCTTAGGCTTAGCACGCGTCGCTCGCGAAGTGGTTTGCAAACGAGAAGGCCGTTTGCCTGTGCTTTTCTATCTCTGCCCATTCCCAGTTGGGTGTGGCTCCAAATTAAAGACCTATGGTTACGCAGGTTTTAGTCTTTGGTTCCATTTGCCAAGGTGCCATTTTGGTACGCTTATTTGAGCCCAGCCAATTCTCGCCATTTCAGCATGTTGTAACGCTTCGCACAGTACGTATGTGCTGCAGGCAAAGCGCCTCACCGTCATTTTGCAAAAACAAACCGGACAACCACGATCGTCATGTGATTGCAAAATCGATAAGAAGAAACACGGCCATTGTCAGTTGATTGGGAAAACGGTAGGATGAACACACGACAAAGTTTAAGTGTTCAAGTTCTCAGAATTCGTCCAGTAGGCCAAGCATGTGGCATTTGGACACCGGTCTCCGCGTCGCCAGGTGAGCGAGTCCAGTCTGATCGACTGATGATGGAGCGGTTCCTGCGGCGAGTCGTGTCGCACCACCAGCAATGACTTCTCGTATTTTGTTAATTTTATTTTCCTCGCATAGGGGTATGTTTTTTTTGGGGGGACCCCTTCCATGGCATCGGAAGTCCGTTTGGTTTTCCTTCAACACCCACTCGAAACACGGGGCGCCCTCAAGAAAAGGACGGAGGGCACATTTCAGGGGTCCGGAAACCGGCGGTGAGGGTTTGGAGGTGAGAGAAGCTGTATCCGTGTTTGGGGGACTTCCTTTGGCTTTGAGGGAAACAACAGGAAAACATCACCTTGTTGTCCAAGTGCCCTTTCTCACCGTTTCTATTTTGGGGGGAGGGAAACCCCCTACTACAATAGACTACAGAAAAAAGTTGGTACCCTTATAACCTCTCCACTGGAGGACCTATGTGTCCCTTGAGCCAACCAACTCTAAGGGAAACCAAGTGAGTCGATCCCGCAAGAATCAAGCTGTCCTATTAATGGGGCTGTGCGTTCTCTCCAGAAGTGATGCATCATGCTGTATCCCCACTAATCTGGGGAACCCCCCTATTCATCAACCAGGGATTTGTCAAGCCGGGGTCAACATTGCCTGTTCTCTAGCTTAAAGTGAAAGCGGCTTTGGCATCAAGGCCCCAAAGCTCTGTCCATCTCTGTCCACTTCCATTGGAAACAGGGTAGATCACCCTAGATCACGCTGGGCAAATCTGTTTTCTCGCCCAAAACAATATGAGAGCACCTTTGTGCGATTTGGATAAGACAAAACAGGGAGACCCCAAGAGTTGCGATTTTTCCTTTTGGCTTCTCTTTACCGCAACCTCCAACAAGGTAGCTACACAAACATGCACACACACAAACACACCTACATTTCTCAGCTTGTCCCTTGTCAGTGGCAAGGAGGTGGACGGAGAAGCATTCGCAGCTCTGGAGGGTCAGCGCCTCATTCAGGCCATTCAGGCCTTTTCACGTGCCAGACTTTGCTGCGACGGTTTTCCTTTTTGGTTCTCCTCCATTTCCTCTGTGGGTGGCTCGTCTCTTTTTGAGGGGACCCCGCATAGAATTGTACTTTTCCTTTGGCTTCCCTTCAAAACAAGAAAGGTGTACCCTCAAACAAAGACACCAGCCCATCTTTCAACCCGCAACACAGTATTTGGGTCGGAATATTCTTGCCCAGCAACAAAACTGCCTTCAAATTGTTTCACTCTTTCGGTCAAGACACCATCTGGTTTTGTCTCACAGGATCGACTGCTTTCATGCGTTTGGTGTCGAAAAAAGTCCAAGGGGTAGCCTCTGCCCAAGTTCGGCTTGGCCGGGCCAAGCCGCCACCACGAGGATACACAAGAAAGGCCCGTGCTTTCACGCCAGGTGCTAGATTTGTTTTTTGCTAAGGTACCTCCAGCTTTCACGACTAAATAATATGGTATTATTAATAATAATAATAATACTAATAATAATAATAATGATGATAATAATAATAATAATAATAATAATAATAATAATAATAATAATAATAATAATAATAATAATAATAATTATTATTAAAAACAAAGGGAAAACAACAAAACAAAACAACGACACGTAGCTTTTTTTGCAGTGACACACTGTGGGCTCATTTCTGGAGCTACCACCGTCGTAAGGTTTGTTAGAAACTTGGTACATGTTGATTGGGGATGGTCTCAAGCCACGCAAAACACGAAGGGCGGCTGGACTACCATCATGTCTTAGGGGTGGTGTATTCTGGCCTATTTCATGCCAGCTTGAGGCATGCAGACTAAACCGCAGGTTGTTCCCCGAATATTGAAGTCAGACATGGGCAAATGTTGACTCAAGTCACAAAGATCAGTTCAAGTTAAAGTTCTTGAAAATTCATCACCCATGTAGAAAATCAATTCTGTTTCCTCAGTGTTCCTGAACCGAATTGGGTGTGGCTCAAAATTCAGCTGGGGCAAACCGCAGGTTTTGGTCTTCCAGACACCAAGGTGCCATGTTGAGTACTTTTTTCGCCGCAGCTGCGTCTTTTTCTGATGGTACCCTTTTTGGGTGTGGTTTGAAGGGAAACCAAGAGGAACGCTACAATTCTTTGGGGGGTTTTCGAATAAAAAGCCGAGCCCAAATTTGTCTGCAAGCCTCCGCCCTTAGGATGACCGGCCGCGAAGCGCTGACAAAAAAAGCCGGCGAGCGCCTGGACTGAAGCTCGGCGCCCTGGAAGATAGCTGTGGTCTAAGGGTGGAAGGAGCCGGAAGCCGTTGCTATTTAGAGGGAACAGGGTGCAGAAGGTCCCTTTCAGTGAAAGCTGCGGGAGCCTGCTTGACCCACTTTTTTTTCCGCTGTCCCACAATCCAAGCGTGGAGGTATTTGCTTGTTCATACTCCTTGGCTTCCGTGGTTTCCAACCCACTTAAAAAGGGGAAGATACCCCCAAAAGAGAGGGGTTTGAACAGCAGGCTTTTGGGGTTCATTTGTCCCCGGGGGTATGTAAAAGGGGTATGTACAAGCACCCCTTGATCTGGGTCTGTCTCTTAAGGCTGCCCCTGGGTTGCGGCTCAGGGAAAGCACAGCTTGGCTCCCAGCCATCCCTTTGGTTCCAGAAGGTGCTTTTTCGTTGTTTTTCGCTGGTTTGGTGGGGATTTCCACATAACCCACTCAAAAGTTGAAGTTGAACGCAGGGGATGTGAGGACAGCCCAGTATATGCCGCATGGGCATATGTGTATATTTGTCTTTGCGCAGGTGTCTGTACATATGTATGTATATATATGTATATATATATATATATATGAGCCACGGACAAAACACACGAAGACCACTTTATCAAGGCGGGGAACGCTTTTGCAAAGCACATGCCAAAACCATGGAAAACGATAAGGTCTCCCCCAAAAACGATAACCCTTAGCTAACACACGGATCTATAATAACCCCTGCAGTTGCAACTTAGCTAGGGTGGGACCCTTGCGCGGCCACCGTAACACGAGAAGGCGAGTCGCCACTTTCGAGCTGGAGCTGCCAAGGTGTGCTTCGTAAATACGACACTTGTACTGAGAAGTTGCGATTTTCGAGCTGGAGCTGCGGAAGTGTACTTCGCGTACTAGACTTGCACTACAAAGTTGCGATTTTCGAGCTGGAGACGCGGAAGTGTACTTCTCGTACTAGACTTGTACTACAAAGTTGCGATTTTCGAGCTGGAGATGCGGAAGTGTACTTTGCTTACTAGACTGGTACTACAAAGTTGCGATTTTCGAGCTGGAGATGCGGAAGTGTACTTCGCGTACTAGACTTGCACTGCAAAGTTGCGATTTCGAGCTGGAGATGCGGAAGTGTACTTCTCGTACTAGACTTGCAGTACAAAGTTGCGATTTTCGAGCTGGAGCTGCGGAAGTGTACTTCGCTACTAGACTTGTACTACAAAGTTGCGATGGAGCTGCGGAAGTGTACTTCGCGTACTAGACTTGTACTACAAAGTTGCGATTTTCGAGCTGGAGCTGCGGAAGTGTACTTCGCGTATTAGACTTGTACTACAAAGTTGCGATTTTCGAGCTGGAGCTGCGGAAGTGTACTTCGCGTACTAGACTTGTACTACAAAGTTGCGATTTTCGAGCTGGAGCTGCGGAAGTGTACTTCGCGTACTAGACTTGTACTACAAAGTTGCGATTTTCGAGCTGGAGCTGCGGAAGTGTACTTCGCGTACTAGACTTGTACTACAAAGTTGCGATTTTCGAGCTGAGCTGATTTTCGAGCTGGAGATGCGAAAGTGTACTTCGCGTGTACTACAAAGTTGCGATTTTCGAGCGGACGTGTACTTCGCGTACTAGACTTGTACTACAAAGTTGTGATTTTCGAGCTGGAGATGTGGAAGTGCACTTCGCGTACTAGACTTGTACTACAAAGTTGCGATTTTCGAGCTGGAGATGCGGAAGTGTACTTCGCGCACTAGACTTGTATTACAAAGTTGCGATTTTCGAGCTGGAGATGCGGATGTGTACTTCGCGTACTAGACTTGTACTACAAAGTTGCGATGTTCGAGCTGGAGCTGCGGAAGTGTACTTCGCTTACTAGACTGGTACTACAAAGTTGCGATTTTCGAGCTGTGGAGATGCGGAAGTGTACTTCGCGTACTAGACTTGCAGTACAAAGTTGCGATTTTCGAGCTGGAGATGCGGATGTGTACTTCTCGTACTAGACTTGTACTAAGTGTACTTTACGGACTAGACTGGTACTACAAAGTTGCGATTTTCGAGCTGGAGATGCGGAAGTGTACTTCGCGTACTAGACTTGTACCTCAAAGTTGCGATTTTCGAGCTGGAGCTGCGGAAGTGTACTTCGTACTGCAAAGTTGCGATTTTCGAGCTGGAGATGCGGAAGTGTACTTCGCGTACTAGACTTGTACTACAAAGTTGCGATTTTCGAGCTGGAGCTGCGGAAGTGTAGTTCGCGTACTAGACTTGCACTACAAAGTTGCGATTTTCGAGCTGGAGATGCGGAAGTGTACTTCTCGTACTAGACTTGTACTACAAAGTTGCGACTTTCGAGCTGGAGATGCGGAAGTGTAGTTCGCGTACTAGACTTGTACTACAAAGTTGCGATTTTCGAGCTGGAGATGCGGAAGTGTGCCTCGCGTACTAGACTTGTACTACAAAGTTGCGATTTTCGAGCCGGATCTGCCAAAGTTCGAAAACACTGTAAAACGATATGGTCTCCCCCAAAAACGATAACGTTCAACAAAGTACTAGGGCCAAGTAAAGTGTTTCGTCCGCTCCTCATATGTATATAATAGGTACATGTGTATATACATATATATATATATATATATAATGTAAGGAATCCACTTCACTGGATCAACTTTTCGAGCTCGCGACCGTGTGCGGTGATGCTCGCAGGAGACATGAGCAAACATACAATCACCAGAAAGGCTTGGGAGAAGAGGAACTCAGAATTGGCACATCTCCAGCCGAAAAAACTTCAAGTTCAACAGCCCAGGCGAGTGCTTGCAGGGAAGTCCTGGTGGCGAAACGCTTCGCTGGATTCCTCTTGCTTGGTTTCAGGGGCGTTGCGCACTCTGCAGCGGGTTTCCCGGCATGAAACAACGCCCCTAAGCATGGGGTGAGAATGAACCGGAAGGGGATCCCCTTTAAAGGAAACCACCAGGTGGACGGTTTATAGGAGTCATTCCATTCTTTTAGCCTGCTGAGAACCAGCGAGCTATCACTGGACGCTGGTGGACGGTTTATTTTTAATCTCGAGTCGGAGCAATTGTCAAAGCCAAGGCCTAAGCGGTCGATTTGGGCCAGTCACTCATGGCCTCAAGCGTCATGATTGGTTTGCCAACTAAAACACATGTCCCAGGCCTCTGTCTTTTTCTGCAGGGCTGGTGTCTTTTGGATTCCCTTCTAAACCAAGGTTGGTGTGTCATTTTTCCAGGGGGCCCACTCAACTGGTGGTCTTCCCGGTTCTTTCCCACAACACAAAAGGGGTAGCTCCAGAAAAGACCCAGGTGCCGTACGGCCCTTTGGCTCCAGAGTCTTCAGCCGCAATGGGACTGACATCCGATTCGCTGACGTCTCCCAGCGACGGCCGCGGATTGGAGCCCGATCGCTTGGAGGAGGCCGGCCACGGAATCGGTGAAGTGAACCAGACAGGAGCAAAACATGGACGAGTATTCTCAAATGATTTCCCGAGCAATTGCATGATGACATACGGGGGACCGAGCGAAACTCAAGACGCGTATCCTTTGCTGAGGCCCCTATTTCCAGATGTATAGCAATTTTCACAGGATATTGACCTGATCGCCATTTGCAAGTGTTGTTCCACGTTGTTCCACATGTTGGATTGCATGGTCATGCTCACTATCATTGGACATGTTTGCCGCGTAACAATCCGGAAGAAGGGTTGGCTTTTGCATGAGCTCGCGGACTGGTGTTGGGCTTCCTATTTTCAGTTGTTCTCACTTGGCACTTGCTT